GTCCCACCATATTTATCTGACCTTCTCATTTCCAACTCTGCCATCCATTCCTACAACACCAGAAATCGATTTCATATTTCAAAATCTCACACTCGCGCTTTTAAATATCGCGCAGCTACAGCTGCTAATAATATTGTATAATTTTATCTTACTACTTTATTGTCAATTCGTATTTTACCCCATTTATGCATTTTATCATTTTGTTCGGACTGCTATGTTATTGTCTTTTTTTTTAAATGTAATTTTATCATATTATTTCATAGTCATTTTATTTTATACATGTACCCTATTTATGCTTTTCTTTATTGTGTTCTCGTCATTTTTGCAGTGTTTTTTTTTTTATATCTATATGCTGTGCATGAAAAACCATTTATGGATGTACTGTTCTAAATGAATAAATTACAAATTTGCTGGAATGACGTAAAACTTGGGCGAAAGATTGGAAATGGTGGTTTGGAAATTCGAAAATGTTGGGTGCAAAATTTGTTAAAGGGTGGTTGGAAAGTCGAAAGTCTTTAGCGTTTGTCTTGAAGACATTCAAAAAATGGGTTGTTGGTAGAACCGTTTGATTGGAAAGTTGTTATAGTTATAAAGTTGGGTAGGAAGTGAACACATTGGCCAGAGAAACATCGTGAACCTTGAGTGGAAAACTGAAAAGTTGGTTGGAAAGTCGAAAACACAGGAACACATTCATAAAAGTTTGTTGGAAAGTTGAAAACACAGGAACACATTTGTAAAAGTTTGTTGGAAAGTTGTAAATACAGGAGCAAATTTGTAAAAATTGATTGAAAAGCTGGTTGGAAAGTCGAAAACAGGAACAAATTTGCAAAAGTTTGTTGGAAAGTTGTAAATACAGGAACAAATTTGTAAAAATTGGTTGAAAAGCTTGTTGGAAAGTCGAAAACAGGAACAAATTTGTAAAAGTTGGTTGGAAAGTCGAAAACACAGAAACAAATTTGCAAAAGTTTGTTGGAAAGTCAAAAACACAGGAACAAAAGTGTAAAAGTTGGTGGAAAAGTTGTTTGGAAAGTCAAAAACACAGGAACAAATTTGTAAAAGTTGGTTGAAAAGTTGTTAAAGCTGGTGGAAAAGTCGAACACACAGGAACAAATTTGTAAAATTTGGTTGAAAAGCTGGTTGGAAAGTCAACAACAGGTCTGGAACAAATTTGCAAAAGTTGCTTGGAAAGTCGAAAACATAGGAACGGCTATTCAACGTTTGTGGAAACCAGAATAGAATAGATACGTGTATACAATAGAAATAGCAATATGGCCGAGACATGTTCATTAATAACGTCATCGTCCAGCGCCCCCCCCCCCTAGAGGCGAAATAACGCCAGGCAAAGTGGATGTTTGTCGTCTACATCAAATCCTGTTTTATACTCGATATTTAGGGCATTTCGCAGCACATTTAATTTGTTTTTTTCGCCAGAATTCATTCATAGATCTCAAATTTCATGTATCGTTTTAGTAACATTCCCCCAAGTTATGGTGCATACACTGTTAAGATATGATAGAGCATACAGGTCATATGACGATTTTTGAGGACAAAGATCACTAGCTGCAAAGACAGTTATTAAGTAAGGCTACTCAAAACCTTCACAAAGTTTTATAGAAGACATAAACAGATAATTATCACATATGACTTGTTTTTCAAGCATCTTACCCCATTTTAAGATAAACATCTATAAATTGAAGACAATATTTCCATTTTCTGATTTACAAACTTTTTAAAAAACCCACATTCCAAAACAGCTTTTCCAAATTTGGAGAGAAATTTCGCATTTTCTTGCAATTAACAATCAAAGAAAGCTTAGAAAGAACTCCCGTGTGCTGAGAGTATTGAAGACACATGAGATATTGTGGGAAAAGCTGAAAACTAATTATGTAAATCAGGTAACTAATATGAACAGAACAGAACAAAAAAATTATGAATTATTATACTAATTAGAGAATTAATATTAATCAAAATTAATCAGGCCTGTCTATTGTTCTAGAGCATTTATGTACCAAATTTTATTCAAATGTTATGATCAATAATTGAGATATCAGTGTTAATTAATTATGTTAATTAGGTGATTAATAAGCATAAATATTTACCAAAAACTAATTGGGTTTCTGCATAGTTCTCTTTAAAAGTTTCATTAAAATCCAATTTGTGGTTCTTTATATATCAGTGGAACATTATGCAAACTAGGTAATTAATATGTACTCATATTACCCTAAAAACTATCAGGTCTGTGCAGTGTCCTATGACATCTATGTACCAAGAGTCATTGAAATGTGATGATTACTACTTGAAATATCAAAAGCTGAAAATTAATTAGATATGCAAATTAGCTAATTAATATATACTGATATTACCCTAAAAACTATCAGGTTTGTGCAGTGTTCTATGACATCTATGTACCAAATTTCATTGAAATGTGATTACTACTTGAAATATCAAAAGCCGAAAATTAATTAATTATGCAAATTAGCTAATTAATATATACTGATATTACCCTAAAAACTATCAGGTCTGTGCAGTGTCCTATGACATCTATGTACCAAATTTCATTGAAATGTGATGATTAGTACTTGAGATATCAGTGGAAAAGCCGAAAATTGATTAATCATTATGCAAATTAGGTAATTAATATTGCACAGATTTCTACCCAAAACTAATCAAATCTGCGCATTAGTTTGGAGCATCTGTGTGCCAAGTTTCAACAAAATCCAATGAGTGGTTCTTTAGATATCAGTGGAATAGTCATGGAACAGCTAAAAATCAGCTAATTATCATGCAAATTAGGTAATTAATATGCATGGATTTTTTCCAAAACCTAATCAAATCTGCGCATTGGCCCAGAGCATCTATGCACCAAGTTTCATCAAAAACTGATGTATGGTTCTTGAGATATCAGTGGAAGAGACGGACACACATACACACACACATCACATACAGACACACTAAATGCAAAGACTCCCTTTTTGTGCTTCGCACACCGGAGTCAAAAACTTTCAGATTTTGCAAACTAACTATATAATGAAAAGTCTCCGATTTTGTAGAGGAATCAAACTTCTCAAACATTCCCACTTTCAAAACTTAGACTTTACAAATGATACACTATATTAATCTGCATTTTTGGAGCAGTGCATTGCAGCATAACAATGATCACATTTGCTTAATGTAACAAGAGGCATTTGCTACGGTTGTGAGCTTGTATCTTCTTGTTTTGTGTTTATATCTTTGTAATGTGCCTGTAACTAATATTACAGGCAACAAATATCCAAACATCCAGACAATTTTTCTAACTTTGCAGACAACTTTCCTGCCATCTAGTACAATGTTTCTATTATTGCATATGACTTTTCCTCATTTTAAATTTATTCTTCCCCACTAGCAAAGGCGATGTTTTTAACTTGGCAGACTTAATCATATTCTCAAACAAATGTTCATACATTACAAATTTTCCCGCTATATTATGCATTGTTTCCAGCCTTGCAGATGACATGGGCTTCTGAATCTTGTTTCCAAACTTGTATCTTTCTTGTCCTTTTCTAATGAAGTTTTCATGCTTCCCAAAAAAAGCATTAACATTCATAATACTAGTATTCAGACTACTATCATCTTAATTTACCCTGAACTTTTTAACAAACTGCATCAGATGGCAAGAAATGTAGTTAACATTAAGTTTGCCTTTTGTTCTCTAGGCCAGCATTAATGCTTAAATGATTGTAATGAATTTTGTTTTCCAAAAACAATAAATATCATTACTTGAATAAACAAGCATGATGATAATCATATTAAATGCAGTGTTGTTATCATACAGTGTGGCAATCGTATCAACCAATGCATAGCAGGAATCAATGCAACACTGTACTGCCCGAGTACATACTTCGCGATATTCTCGGATAACCTTGAAATTATTCATCTTTGTGATAATATAATTTAAAATGCCATTGAACAAATTTTTGTATTGTGCCAACAATGGAGTGTTAGGCACTTAGCCCGAACTAAGTGTTCATGCATACTTCAGGCCATGCTAAGTATCTGAACTGGGCCTTTAAAGCAGACAAGATTTACTGTAATCTGTACTTGGCATTTCTTAGTACGTGCTAAGCGTTCACATACTTTTTGTTAGCAGGGGCTTAGGTATTTGACCTCTTTTCGTTTGGTGACGGGCTAGGACACTTGTGCATCCAATGTAAACAAAGAGTACTGATAATAGTGAAATATGACACCTATAGTCTATAAGACATTCAATATTAGTGGCGAACATGTAGAAAATTTGAACGTTGAAATGAGTGCAGATAAGTTTTGAGAATGAATGCAAATACTTTTTGTTTACAGAACAGTGAAATCCATTGTTTTTGGTGCTAGATATATAACACTCTTTATTATTTAAAACTAGCTTCAAAGCTTAATCATTAACAAACCAGGCTTGAATGCTCTATCGTACAAGAATGCAAGAAGCACAGGCAGGAGTCAAAACACACCAACCTGCCCTGCATCAACAAAAACAGCAAATACTTATTTCAGAAAAACATGGTTTCTAATTTACATTTATCTCGTTTTGACCTGTGCATTGCAAATACAATGAGAAAAACAAGTCTTCCATCATCACATTTTTCACATCTGTCATGAAGAGAACAAACACCTTTATCATGCTTTAGGCATGGGCTACTATAAAGGGTGGAGATATTTTTAGAACATTTGCACTTGCACATATCATGTAACAAAATGCAAATATAATAATACATCATAAAGTGGTAGTCACTTTTACCAACGACTGAAATACATTGGAATATACAAGTCAGATTTGGTCAAATATGACATCATGTGAAAAGAAAAATGAAGTTGTACAAATATGCTCTAACTTCACTGTATTACAGTGTGTTTTTATCTTGGTTAAAAATGTTTTTCTCAATACATTTGGCATAGCTAATAAGCCAAATAAATATCTAGACAATAATCAATTCCCCTCATAGAACTTGGTTAGAAAATCTTGCTTTGGTTCTTTTTCGGTTTCATGGAAATATCGCATGATGTGAGTACGCTGTTTCCAAGCTTTGTGAGTTTCTTCTAAATCCATTCCGCCCTGCAGAAAAAAACAAGTAAAATATGAAAATACTACTTGCAAACTTGCATATACTGTACTTTGGTCAATTTCAAATGTTACAATGGACACCGAAATAGGGCTAAATGCTTTGGTGAAATCACAAAAGTCATTATTCTGTATTCATGCTGAATGGTGGAGAATACCAACACATAAGAGTAAATTGTGTTGTATATGAAAAATAAAAAAATTCAGTCTTCAAAAATGTTAATAAATTCATAACTTAGTAGTGTTCACTACATGAAGTACAGGCTAAGACTTAAACTAATCTCATATGTTTGCATATCGAATAGATCCAAATGCGTTCATGCATGGGAGACAATCTTTCTATACGTGTTCACATTGACTGTCATGTCACAAATGACATACCGAAATGAATATAACAGTAAATCTTCAAAATGAACATTGAATACAAAAGCATTTTGGGCGCTCAGCCCGAGCTAAGTGTTCACGCACACTTCATCAGCCCATGCTAAGGATCTGGACTGGGTCATAAACAAGCAGCCTGTTGGCTGAGATAGCTTTGCTGTTAGCAATGCACATGGCAATTAAAGAACAGAAGATGAACAAATCTGAGAGAGGTCCACATGTAGTACCTATATATGTAATATCAAAGCAATTGGACTTGCGGTTTTTAACAAGAAGTCGAAAATATTACTTTTTACCAAAAATTACAAAAATATTCACCAAAATTAGAGAATTAAAGATATCATTACAAAATGAACAAACCCGAGAAAGGTCCACATGTAGTACCTATATATGTAATATCAAAGCAATTGGACTTGCGGTTTTTAACAAGAAGTTGAAAATATCACTTTTTACCAAAAATGACAAAAATATTCACCAAAATTAGAGAATTAAAGATATCATTACAAAATGGACAAATCTGAGAAAGGTCCACATGTAGTATCTATATATGTAATATCAAAGCAATTGGACTTGCGGTTTTCAACAAGAAGTCGAAAATATCACTTTTTACCAAAAATGACAAAAATATTCACCAAAATTAGAGAATTAAAGATATCATTACAAAATGAACAAATCTGAGAGAGGTTCACATGTAGTATCTATATATGTAATATCAACGCAATTGGACTTGCGGTTTTTAACAAGAAGTTGAAAATATCACTTTTTACCAAAAATATTCACCAAAATTAGAGAATTGAAGATATCATCATGAAATGAACAAATCTGAGAGAGGTCTACCCAAGGTACATATACACCAAGTATCAAAGCATTCAGGCTTGTAGTTTTCACAAAGAAGTCGAAAAAGTAAAACATTGACACGAACAATCACTCATACGATAAGCTCCGCTCGACAAAGTCGACAGCGGAGCTAATAAGGGGCCAGATTTAATCTGTACTTAGCATTTCTTTGACCATGCTAAGTGTATTTGACGTCCTAGCCCTTGCTAAGAAGCTGTGCGTGAACACTACTAATGGAATATTTCTTGAGATTATTCATCAAAACAATTTTTTCACTTATTCTTTATGTGAAGATGAGCAAATCAAGTATTAGTCACCTGAATTATTTCTATGGAAACAGTGTCCAGCAAACTAGTTGAATGCGTCATTATATTTTCAGCAAGAAACAATGACCATAAAACGAAACCCTGATTGGAGATGCAACCATTATTTTTTTCATTTTAGTGATTAATCTATGTGCGAGTATATGAATTTACCTTCAAGACAAGCAAATCTATAGCTCGAATATCTTGAACATGAGCATTCCTCATAAACATCTCTCTGAGCTTATTTCTTCCTTGCTGTACACTGATATCCAGCTTATAGGCAAATACTGAAAACAGATTATAAACCACAGTTAGCACTTGTTAGTTGGTTGATGTCATTGTTACTGTATAACTCAAGTACAACATTACATTCGGGCTTGTCATGCTAGCTATCAAACCTTTTATTTTTAATAACTGCCATTGACCTCATAAACGATGTTCTTTACTGTTATTAAATGCAATCCAATCGTATTTATTATAGCTGCAGTTCTGTAGCTATGGAATCTCTGAAACTTTTTTGCAATTCTGATGATTTCATTTTTCTTGGGGGTAATTGTAAAACAATGGATCACAGGGTCTTTTTATAGCCATTTAGTAAAACCAGATGAAGAATATAAATATGCAAATAATACTCTTGAATGCCCACTGGGTTTTGATTTACTAACACTTTTTATTTAATATTTCTATTTTTTTTTTTTTAGTTAATCATTTGTATTATCGCTTTAGCAATCATCTTTAGTATCATCTTTATTTTCTACAATGCCATACAGATTTGCACCAAATTTACTGCAGATGTTCAATATTTCTCTCTTTAATTTACCTAGGTTCTTGTTGAATCACGTTGATTAATGCAATTAACCCCTTAAAGTGCCTGTGCAATGCCCACCCTCACGTTTTCCATTTTAGATCTGTGTCCCACTGAAATGGGCAGTTATTGATTTTTTTGCTGAAAATGATTACTCGTATCCAAGTAAATTTGGGATATTTCTCGTTTTGTAGCCACGCCGACCTATCCTGAAACGGTCGGATTTCCGACTCTCGCCGAAAGTGTGTCACCAAACGACAAAATGTGAGAGGAAGTCAAACCTCTGAGCCGTAATAACACTGGTCATTCAGCATACTTTTAAACGATATACATTTTTCGGTTGGAGTTTTTTCTTTTTTTGTCTATTTTTTTTTTTTTTGAGAGAGTTTTTAGATGTTGTGTTGTGAGCAGTTGCAGTGAAACGTATAGTCATAGTGTATGTATTCACACATTTCTAATCGATCCGAAGGTGCGACATCAGTGGACGAAAGCCATTTAACCTCAGACTCTTTTTTTTTTGGAAAAACTGTCCTCGTCCATGAAAAAAAATAACTACTGGTAGGTTTAAAGAGAAACGTCGACAACGTAAACCTGGCGGAAAGTGTTTCAAATGAGTTGACTTTTTTTGCAATCGTGATTATCGTTTTATAGAGACCATTAAGTCCCTGTTAAGTAAAAAGTAGCAATAATTTTGACAGTGACACGAAAACGAAGCGTCGGACAAACAGGAAATTACACAGCCCTTACACACTGCTAATTATTTTCATTTTCGAAGGCTAAGTTTCTGAATTGTTTGGTGATTGGTGTTGAATGTCGAATTCACACCTCTGTTCTTTTTTTACCTCCATGCTTGCAGCTTGATCTGCGTAATAATTTATGAAATAAGAATCCGGGCTTGGTCAATGTGTTTCCACCAAATAAAGTTTTAATATGATGTTATAATTATGACAATCACGCCATGGATCATGCTAACTCGAATCCACTCTGAATTTATCTGTATGTGTGTCGATCTTGATTATTTTTGTTATTCAATTAAACGCTGCTTTTAACGCACTTGCCCTCGTCGTGACTCGACGCATTCACTTATTTCAACAAAATGTCAATTTATTTCCACGCGGCTGTCATTTATTTAGATTGATCTGTAGAGAAACTGAATGATGACTGACTCTGTTTCACTAACACATGATGTCAATTTAGCTTTGGGGTTCTGGCATTTAAAGCACCAATCAATATAACTGACATGTTTTTGAATACCTGTTTTTATATTATAGCGAGAACACTCGTGAAGCGAGCTCTATAGATAATATGGTACACTTTCAGTCAATGGATGACATCATTTTTTTTTAGTTCTTTCACAAATTATGTGAAGCGGAACAGCTCATTCATGATAAAACATCTCCAGAATGTTGCTCAATGATAAGGCCATCATTCTTTAGTCAATCAATTAACTCCGAACCTGCGCAGACTTGCCAGACATTGCCTGCTGCATATTATATATTGCTAAGGATAATTGTAGAAAACAATAATATAGTCCTGCTGCATGGCCCTAATTATAGCAAAAATTTTGCTCATTATGATACTAGCATGACACTTGATACACTGGTAAGTTATGATATTGCGATTATTTTTTGATGTGGGACCACCTTGAACCCGACTGTGGAGGTCAACTAGAGATCATAAAGGTCACACAAGGCCATCTTTCGTAATATTGACAATACAGAAATATTATAATATAATATAATACCCCCCCCCCTACTCGGTAGTACTCCCCTTCAACAGAAAATAAAACGTAGTATGGTTGGGGTGGAAACTCTTACTTTCAAAAGTTAAAAAATGCCATAATTTCATATAAAAGAAGAACAACTGAGGCTACATGAAAATAAGTTTCGTTGTGGGCGAATACTGACACAGTTAGAATTGCCAACATTCGAGGACGACGTGCAATAATATTTATACGTAATGTACTAGTAGTTCAACTTTGTCATGGGTCAAGCTGGGGCGATTGGGATAATTTACCTGTGTGTGGAACCTCCCTGTACCACGCTTTATAAAGTTGCAAGACCCGGCGTTTTGCTTCATTCTCGTCCTGGGACATTACAGGCTTTATAGCTTCCTTGGCTGCGGTAACCGCAGCTCTCGCAACTTTCGTACCTCTGGCTGCCATTTTGGTTGCTTCCAAACAAGACCGTTGGTGGCAGTGTTCAAAACGAAGGTGGACTCGCAGCTTGCCCCATGAGCCTTTGCGTACATGCCGTCCAAGGACGAAAAGGCACGTGGGACAAGGTACGAACTAAGATGAAAGCGTGTCTTTAGCTCACTGAAAATAAATCCTGTTCTGTAGACTACGAGTATTTTGATTACTATTGTGAACACAACAACTGTTTTAGTGATTAGTGTGACCAGTCAAGAGTCGAATGTTTGATTTTAAATAGTAACGTTGATGATTTCCAATATTTATAAGATAGATTTGTTTTTTTTATAACAATCCCACCTCCGACGTTTTCGTTGCTTATAAAGAATTCTATACACTTAGGTGGTCTTTTAAAATGGCATCAACTGGGCATGTGGACGGATCGGTGGACTTATCCTTAAAAAGAGAAAGCCAGTTGGACGAGGAAAAAGTAAGTCTATGATATAATCATTGTTATCTAATACAAATCTGTAGTGATGTAGAGCATATGAGCGTAGTTTTGACATACGCCACCATTATGACACTGTGGCAGTGTTTTCAATCCCCAGCCATGCTGGATCTTGAAGTGCTATAGCATAGTGGTCGCCTTACTTGTTGTTAGATACGTACGTTATATAAAAATTCATTGCTTGTTTAATTTTAAATTTGACCACTGTGACTTCTCAGCAGAAACTATTGTACTCTGCGTACTTCTAAACATATTTCTCGCCAGATCATTATAACACAAAAATATTGCATATTATTGTGTAATTAAAAATCCAGAACCCAATTTTTTGGCTGGTTGTTTACGCTGAACCCTTTCACGGCTGACAGTGGTTTTTGGATACCTTTGTACTTAGGTTAGGAGCGCCGTAAAAGCTTTGTTTGCTCACTATAAACACAAACAGCTGAAGAAGAAAGATCTTATTGAAGAAACTGAAACTCTGCGAATACAGGTTACACTGTGGAAAGTTCCAGTACAGAAGAGTAAAAGATTCCAAATGTAGGTACTAATATGGACTGAATCAAGTGTTATGTGTACAATAAATTTCATGATTGTTTTCTTATTGAAATTTAGAAATATTTTTACTGTACTTATTTGACTTGGCTCTGAAAATCGTGTGTTTATGGGGTCGGCACTTAGTTTGCTTGACGCAGAATATATGCCAAAAGACAGTGTTCATTCACTACATGTATGTGCCTGATTAGTGGAAATAGTACATCTTTTTTGGGGAACTAAAATTTTACAATGATGAAACAGAAATGATTTTATTTTTTACATACCATAAGAATTTATGGTTGTAAAATTTGTTTTGATTGTATGCAAACTCTTGATGCAAATCAGTTTCTACTATAATGATTTTCTGCATGATTTGACCTGCCAAAGTGCCTTCTGACCTAACAGGTCAAGTCTGTTATTATAAATGCTGTGTGGTACTGATGCAATTTGCTGTGAATTTCCGAATATTGACAATGCCATTTTTCACAATGCAATGTGGAAGTGAATTGCTGATGTTTGATTTCTTGGCACTGATTTTGACAACATTTTTCTTTAAAACTAGTAATTCCTAATTAATCAGGTAAACTGAGTGAGGGAGAAGTATTTACCACTATTCACAAGTAAATGGGGCTTGTTAAATTTTAGTTTAAGATTAGTAGGTGTGTCTATGGTCAAAATAATGCGTATTATAATGATTGAGTACTAGTATAATGTGATTTTTAGTCCTTTGGACCAACGGTCCAATGGACTAATGCTATCACAATTTGTAAGCCGTAGGCCGTAGGCCGTGTGCTGTAGACAAAGATATCTCAAAAACCCTTCAGTCTATTTTTCTGAAACTTGGCATTATGATAGCTTGTGTGAATATCTCCAGGGCATTTTTTTTTTATTTGGCTTGAATCATTTTAAAATTACTTTTTGGCCCAAAAACCTTCCAAAATCAGGCTTTTCTAGTGTAGGTAATCTCTGTCCAATTATCATACATGGTGAGTGGCACAATTTGCATAGTAAACATTTTGCGTTATTTTTTCTGATACACACTTCTCTTATCAAATTGTAGTTTCATAATAAAGAATGTATATTATTTGATGTGTTCATGTATGTTGTGATGGTTTATCGCATTAATTATTCGTTTAATGATAGATTAAATAGTACTAATTCGAATTTATCACGCATGGGCAGTTACGCATAAAATCACCATTGGACGATATGGCAGTGTGATTCGATG